AAAGTGCCAATGAAAAAGTGTTATTCGTTTTTTGATATCTTTTCAAATAAAGTCAGAAAAAAATAAAATTGATATTGTCAAATTCTCGTTTTTCCCAAATATCTCAGCAGGCCATGAAAATTATTCAAGTTTCTAAACGGCATGTAAATAAGCTTTAAAGAACACAACTTTTTCCTAATTTAACCTAAGCTGTATCTCCAACAGGTACTGAGATTCCCATGCTTAGGATCCTTATCTTGGACACACTGTATAGTTACATAAAAAAGTTGATATAAAAAATACAGTAACTCATTAAATTGGGGAAAGTGGTGAAAAAACACGGAAAAAACACATAAGTAGCAGCAAAAGCTACTTGTATATGTGTATATGAAGGCAGTAACAAAATAAGTTTAATATTAGAGTACAATTGACATAATCGATAAAAAAATGTAATATCTAACACCTAAGTATCTTTGTATCAAAACAACTACGATACTATTAATCATACTCTAATTCTAAGGTTTTTTCTCAAATCAGTTATATTCAAGTCACAATCCGGTTAATTTTACATTTTCGTGGTAACGTCATTTAATACTGGAAAACACGACATATAGACACAGTCACAGACACAGGTATAATTCAGTTTCTTTTCTTTTTTTTCTCTCTATAGTTTTTGCTTGAAAATTGTATCGATTATGGGTCTATTACTGACAATCCACTTTTTTATTCTCTTTTCGAACAACTTATCAACAGATATATTCTTTAGCTCATTTGGTAACAAACTATTCTTGTAGCAAGGTAATTTGCACTTCGTTGACCTATACATTTTCCACTTCTGGGAAAGAAAATTGCAACAGTTCTTCTGGTATCGTAGGAATGTTCATGAGGGGTGAGTTGTATTTTATTAGCTTTGACATAAAGTAAAAGTTTGTTAACAAATATTTGTCTCAAATCTCTACATTGAGATTCATTATAGAGTGCGTCAGAAGAAAATGTCACCTTTTTGCCATACATAATTTCCAGAACCCATCTCTGCAAAACCTGTACTTGGTTCAAGAAGCAATCATTGACCCCGCTCCAGCCCAAAATCCCATAGGATAGTAAGGACTCTATCAAGGAAAAATAAACAGTTTTCAACTGGTTTATGTTCAAGAAATCCTTCAAATATTTGAATTTAGATAAAAAAACCTCTTATTTTTCCTGATATTTGTTTTGTTTGCATATTCCACTTCATATGTCGATCGACAATGATTCCTAAATACTTTATTTTGTCACCTTCCTTTATTTGAGAGTCTAGTCCTACATTCAAAGGCCCAAGATCTGGTAAACCACAAGCATACGACGTGAAAGGTAGATAAGTTGTCTTCTTATAGTTTATCTTCCTCTTGAAGATGATCACTTTGTGATCGAAACACGTGTCGAGGTGTAAAAATAACGATTTGGTGTTGGGGAAAAAACTCCAGTAATATTCTTATAGTTTAATGTTAATTTGTTCCCTTTTAGCCAATTTGATATGTTGGGAAAGTCACTTTCTACTTTCTCTTTGAGTTCTTGCCAGGTTGACGCATTATACACCACAGCAGTATCATCAGCAAAGCTAATGATTTCATCACTAGTGTCTAGAAATAACATACTGTTTATGTAGATACTGAACAGAAGAGGTCCTAGTACAGTTCCCTGGGATACTCCATATGATACTGTTTGTGTTTCACTGAGAATTCCATCAATTTTATCTTTTTGTTCTCTACCCAATAAATAGTTTTCAAGAAGGTTGTAAATATTTCCTCTTATTCCATATCGTTTAAATGTATTAAGGAGTATTTTGTGAGAGACAGTGTCAAATGCTTTAGACAGGTCTAGAAAAATACTGACGGAAGGGATTTTTTTTATCTATCTGCCCTCTCTAAAGCCATATGGACGATCTGATGAAATATTGAATTTTTTCAAGTAAGAGTATAATCTTTTCTTGATGATTCTTTCAAATTATTTTCGATAAGTTGGAGATTAGTGTAATGGGCCTGTAATTTGCGATAGATGATTTATTTCCACCTTTATGTAGGGGTTTTATTATTACGCTTTTAAGGAAAACGCCCCATATCAATATACAGGCTGATTCACGGTGGATGGCACATTAGACGTTTCTGGTGAACCAGACAACGGATCACTTTGAAAATTTAATGGAGGGCATATTCGGACATTCTCTAGCCAACTAAAATATTTTCGACGATGCGGTGTTGCCGCTTCTATTAGAAAGCAGTAGCAACTTTGATTTTTCAAATGGAACACTCTGTATATAATATTATTTTTGGAATCTCCAACAATTGCCCGACAACTTTTCTTGATATTTCCCTATACCTATCTGTTACCGTTTTC